ACTGTAAAGCAGCAGCTTGTAACAAAGCTTTGGTCGGCCTCCACCCACATTTGGTGATGTGTATCGACACGAACACTAAAACCTCCGTTAAAATTCAATCAAAGCTGCCTTTTTGAAAATCCATTCCCATCTGCCTCTCTTGCTTGCTGATGATTGCCTACCTCCCACTCTCATATTGCTGCCAAGATGGCTCGGTGCTTTTTTGAAGTAGCTCGCATTATGTCACAATCCTGTCGCTGTTGCCGCTCACCTGTCTTTACCTCGTCATATGTTCCCTCTTTTGCAAACCATCAAAGTTCATGTGTATGCGAGTGAATGAATCAGACAACCTCAGAGGAGTGGTCAGGGTCCTTGAAGCTATGTGAAGTGTAGACTCTAGGCCGTTACGTAAGGCCAGAGTCACAGTGTAAGAAAGCATCGGCTGTGGGCTTTGTATCGGTCTGACACGAAGAAATACGATGCCAGCGGCCTTGAAGCCACTGCAGGTGCTATAGGTGTGGAGATGCGAGCCAAATGATCTCATAACAGCTCTTGTGGGATAAGCGGTCTGACCACATGGGCTAATAGTAATGGTAGTGGGGACATGAGGCAGGCAGTCTCATCATGACGGGAATGTTGCCAAAACTGTGGGTTAAAGACTCAAGATGGCGGGACGCCGTGGGGCTGGAGGCGCCGAGATGTGGAGCTGGTGGCCAGAGACTGGGGCTTGTAGAGACGTGCAGCTGTGGTACTAAAGACGATAAATCCATCAGCCATGAAGCTGTCGGCCGAGTGTCACATGGTCATAGAGGCGGAGAACTAAAACTGCAGGGCCTCTCAATGTACAACCACAGAGCCACAAGTTATGTTGCTTTATGTCTTGTTCCTTTCATAATGGAATTAAAATTTTGCTATGGGCATCATATCACTAAATTAAGACCTACAGTGAGGGAAAAAAGTATTTGAGCCCCTGCTAATTTTGTACGTTTGCCCACTGACAAAGAAATGATCAGTCTATAATTTTAATGGTAGGTTTATTTGAACAGTGAGAGACAGAATAACAACAAAATTCAGAAAAACGCATGTCAAAAATGTTATAAATTGATTTGCATTTTAATGAGGGAAATACGTATTTGCGTTTTTCTGGATTTTTGTGTTATTCTGTCTCTCACTGTTCAAATAAACCTGCTATTAAAATTATAGACTGATCATTTCTTTGTCAGTGGGCAAACGTACAAAATCAGCAGGGGATCAAATACTTTTTTCCCTCACTGCATGTAAGCAGTGCATCACTGTCCGTTAGAGAACAGTCAAAAGAAAGTGATATCACAAACTAATTTTGAAAACATTAAAGTTAACTCTTATGCATACAAGGGGCACTGCACTTCCCTATGCTACGGGAACGTTAGCCTCTTGGCAATTTTTTTTTTAATAAATTCACAAAGAGCTGAGACCATACGCGATAGTGCACTTGAGAACCTGGTTTAATCACTGATGCCTGCCCGGATTCAAACCCAGGCTCTTTATGGTGCCGGCTCAATACTCTGACCTACGAGTCACCTTGCCCACCTCTTGCATGAGCTGCTTTAAAATGTGCCACCATGTGGCTGGGGCAGCATCGTTAATTCACAGGGGAAAGTAACATGTTGTTCATACATCACAGGGATCTTAAGCACATTGGCCACAGGTATTGCAACTGTGAAAACAAACAACAAAAAAGACTTAAACTAAAATCGACGATAAATTAAATTGTAAGCAATATAGACATGCAAAAAACATGATGAAAATCAATACCAGGATGATGGCGATGGTTTGTGTGTGATACAGAGAGGCACACAAGTGATATCACATGCAACCAGAACAATGTGGTCACAGTTAGTAAACGGTCATCTTCATATCCATTTTTCCAAGGCCAGCTGTGATGTCATCAGACTATCAGTCACCCCATTCCATTATCCTGCCTTTACTGCCAGCAAGGCCACATTAAACATAAAACTTTCTGAACGGTATAAAGTACAATGTTCCTGCTTCGGCGAACTTACATGATGAATTACAGGATAGCTCACAAGAAATGGGACGTTTGACTGTCGCCGAGAGGAAAGAGAGACCTTGACATTGTGGACTTCGTCAGGAAATATTGACGCTCACTTCAAGATGGTTTTAAATATAAGCGGTAGCTCAAGTTGTTGGTGGAGATTTGATGCGATTGTATAATTAATCATGATAAATCTGCAGTACGGTAAAATGCCCACAATTAAATGCAGTAGTGCACGTACAATTAATCGGTCGTGCAATAGTGTACCTCTCACAGTAGTCAGTAGTAAACTAATCCTCAGTAGTATGACGGACTAATCTTATTAGTCAATAGTACTTCTGACTAATCCTCACCACCAACACAATGACTGTTATCCTCACCACCATCACAATGCAATTTGTACTTAAGTGGCATAAAAACCAGACCAACTCTCGAGACGCTCTACAGATCAGCGGGTTACTTTTTATGGAGCGTAGGCGGCAGCGAGTGATAGGTCAAGGAAAATAAGATGTCCTAACGCTTGGACCTTAACTGAGGCAGGGATTCAACAGCACGGACAGCAGGGGGTTGAGAGTTTCAGACTATGGGGAACAGCAGAGGAGAATGAGCGACCTGCATCGTGTACAACATTATTTAGCAGATGTCGTGACGGGTACTGCAAGATCCGACCATGTCCATCCAGTGCTCGCCGAGCTGTATTGGCTTCTGGTTGCCGAACGATAACATTATAAGGTCGCAATCATTACTCACAAAGTGCTTACCACAAATGAACACACAACACCTCGCTGATCTCGTCAATTAGCATAAACCATCATCACGCGAACTCCGCTCTTCCTCACAGCAGCGGCTTTCGGCTAGCCATCGAACAAAGACGGTCGCCGTATCGCATGGCACTTTCGAATACGCTTCCGTTGCCATCTGGAACACTCTTCCTTCCAATATCAGGAAGCCACTGGAGCTATGCACTTTGATATATAGATTAAAAACTCAGTTTTTATAACTGCTTTTTTGTGTTTAGTTTGTTGTCCTCCCCCTGCACCTCTGATTAGAACGGTTGGCGACGTATAGTGCGAAAGAAGTTCAACATACATACATACATAATCCCACGAAGAAATGGTTGCATTTCCCCATCTGCACCACCCTCTCGCCCCCCATAAACTCATGCAGCAAACACAACGCCATCTCGTAATTGATGCACACACACGTGTGCAGACCGTACATTTACATAAAGAGTGCATGGCTGTGCACAAATTATTTCCAATCACTAGAGGAATTTCTCAACAATGCGAGTAAACTCGATATGGCACTGCCGTCGAGGTCATGGACAAAAAGAGTAAGCAATTCTAGATTTGAAGTTTTCGTGACTGTTTTTTTTGGTAAAGTCACGTAGGTAAAAATTTGTTTAATTTAAGTTATTTTAATGTTTTACCTACGTGACTTTACCGAAAAAACCGAAGAGTAAGCAAAGAAAAAGCCTGGAAGCACAAACAAGAGCTCCTCATTAATTTACAACATCAAAAGATAAATAATCAGCAATACTCATAATGCAGCAAGGCCATCACGAAGGTGCCATGTCTTCCAGACACGATCTGCAGTAATTTCACAGAAGTCGGCAATGTTGCAAATTGGTGAGATGTGAACTACCTAGCCTGGTATGCAGGAGGTTGTGGGCATGGATCCTGACCCTGATGCCTGTATATTTGGAGTTTGCATGTTCTCCCTGTGGTCACTTGGATTGTTCGGCGGGTCCCGGTTTTTCCCTCCATATTTACCAGGGAAGGCCCACTGAGCTATATAGATATTTTGCAGAAGCGACCTGGCCACAAATTATGAACTCAATGAAGTGGCTTATCATGTGGAAATTTATCGCACGGTGAGAGAGAAATGCAAACTACAAATATACAACAGTCGTCAAGGAGCTGGGATCGAACCAACAACCTCCTGTATACCAGGCTAGGTAGTTAACATATCGCCCCGTTGGCACCTGTGACTCTTGACATCCTGGCTAAGTGGGATGCAGGACGACACTATGGGTGGCACAACAGCGATCATAATGTTCTTGATACAGTGCCCTTCACGCCAAGGCGTCATCTTCATCTCAAACGTTCAAAGGGCATTCCCCAGTGACAGCTGTCCCAGTGCAGCACGAGGTGACACAGCACGGAACCTTCTTCTTCTTTAGTGCTGCCTAACGGCGTGTGCACGGAACCTAGAATGGGCATTATTATGTTGTTAGGGGGGCAGGGAGGGCGGCGATTGCCGTGTGTAACCCGGTCGAGTACATGCGTATGTATGTTGACCTTCTTTTGCACCATACGTAGCCAACCGTGCTAATCAGAGGTGCAGGGGAAGGATAACAAACTAAACACAAAAAGCAGTTCTAAAAATATCATTTTCAATCTATATTTAAAAGTGTATAGCTCCAGTGGCTTCCTAATATCAGAAGGAAGAGCGTTCCAAACGACCGCAGAATCGCATCTGAAAGCGCGTGATGCAGTGACCATTTAGTGACCGAGTTACACTTTTCAAAACTAAACAAATATTATTTTACTAGGTAAGACCCACTGAGCTATATAAATATTTTTCAGAAGCGACCAGGCCACAATGATAAGCTCAACGAAGTGGCTTATTACGTGGGAGTTTCTAGCAGTAGCCAAATACTCTGAACGCATGTTGATTATAATTGTGGAGGAAAAAACCGGCCGGCCCAGAGAAAAATCCACGCGACCACGGTGTGAGAGAGACACGCAAACTCCAAATATACCACAGGCGTCCGACTCGGGATCGAACCCACAGACCTCTTGCATACCAGGCGAGGTAAACAACATCTCGCCATCACGGCGCCCCCGAATAAAGCAACGCAATTGGGCACCAGGGTTAGGGGTTCTATACTATAGAGAGAAGCCCCCTTGCGCAGTGCGCGCCACGTGAGCAGGAACCGGCGGTGGAGGGGGGGGGGCGGTGGGGGCGGCAGTGAGGCGCTCACTCGGTCATGTTGATCTCCTGACGGCAGGCGACCGTGCTGCGCATGCAGGTGCCCGTGAGCGCATCCACGTTTTCCACGATGACGAAGGGGCGCTCCTCCAGCGTCACGATGCTCAGGTGCCGCTCGTCCTTGATGGTCGACGACGAGAACTCGTAGCGTGGCCATATTGGGTACTTGAGCATCATCAGCCCGTTCTCCCACTTGCCGACCTGCGGGTGACGAGGGGGAATGAGTGGAGAGGCTCAGCGTGGAGATGTTGCAGATGTGCGTGTGTACGTTGAACTTCTTTCGCACCGTAGGTAGCCAACTGCGCTAATCGGAGGTGCGGGGGGAGGACAACAAACTATGGGTCTCTGCGTGAGTCTATGTATGTATATTTAACTTCTATTGCACCATACGTATCCAACAGTGCTAATCGGATGCGCTCGACAATCGCTGAATTCACTGCCACGTTGATGTTTTCTCAGACTTTTCTCTCCTGCAACGTGCATCACTTTTTAATTTACGAAGTCACGACAAAATTAGTAATCTGAGACAGCGCGTACCAAACACTCGACAGCGATACGGGAATTTGTACAGCACGGTATCTCGATCCAAATCAAACTACGTGATATACTCGATTGTATAAACGCTCAATAATGGCGTAGACGAGTGCTGTATTACTTCTGTAGCCCTCAACAGGCTCACCAACCTCGACATCGGAAACAGCAGATAACATTGCTAAATCACCCTGCCATACGGAAGAGGAATGGAGTTGGTCAAACATCCCAATGTAGGCCCTTGGGAAAATTGCTGGCGATGGTTTATGGCTGTATTCCAGCTTGCTTGTGGTGCCCAGTGCCTGTAGACAATCCTGTCTCTGTCTGTCTGACAGTGAACGACAGCTGTGTGTCGTCATTATTGACCAGAGTGAATGACGAGAACCATTGTGTGATCGAACAGTAGCATCATAATAATAGTAATACAGAAAATAGGTAAATAATCAAGCATCTCAATGCATTGATTGAACATTTATCTTGCATCCTCAAAATGCAGGTATTGCATTGTGCTTGTGATCGATTATTTACTGCTTACGCATATAACGTGATAACGCTGTTACAATTAATCCAGTGGAGCGTACAAAACCGTAGAAACGAGAAAGAAAAAAAGAAAATTACTTCTAGTAAAAACTAAACGGATGAAAACAAGAGAACAAGTGGAATATTGCACGTCCTTTAGTCGCGATAATTCATCTTCGTCGCTATGGGAGAGGGATTGACATCGTTACAGTCCCAATAGAACCAGCGGGGGTAGAGGTGACATGAACACGGGGGGCTGCGTGGGTGAGGGGGGTGAACAGAGCGAGCGAGAGGGAGGAGAGTATGGGGGCACTGAGGTGGGGTGTGCACCGGTAAGGGTCACCGCGAGATGTGATCTTCCTCGCCTGGTATGCAGGAGAGCGTGGGTTCGATCCCAACTATGACGCCTGAACTTATTTCGCACCATACACTGCCAACCATGCTAATCCGATGTGCGGGAGGAAGGACAACAAACTAAACAGAAAAAGCATAACATATATGTTTTACCTGTGCCCTGGGGAGCCATAGTGTAGCGGCAACCCGGGTTCGATTGCTGCTCACACCCAACACCAGTGACAATTATCCTGGGCCTCCCCGAGATCGCACTCAGCCTCAAATGAGTACCTGGTGCGATGTGTAAACATACCGTTAGGGAGACAAAGGCGACTAGGTGTGGTTCTGACCACCTACCCAGAACCGGCCCTAGACCTTTGGGGGCCCTAAGAAAAATTTGGTTGGAGGCCCCTTTGATGTATGATTTTTTTCACCCACTAGCTAGCAGTGACTCTAGGGGGCCCTCTGCTGGCCACGGGGCCCTTTGCAATTGCAAGGGTCGCTTAGTGGCTGGGCCGGCTCTGCACCTACCCACCCCCTCGTGTGCAGTGCCGGCCTTCATTGGTGCTGCTCATGAACAAGCACTTGCTCCGACAGTCTGTTAGGGTTACACGGAGGACCTTTGTCTTTGGTGGCGGTGGTGGACTCGTGGGGAAGGGTGGGGGAGCCGTTCACAGCAAGAGGCAAAAAATAGCGCCGGGCTTTGGTGAAACCAATTTCACAAAACTCTGAGCCCAGCACACACGCTCCATTAATTGTGTGGGGGGAAATAAATAAAATATTTCAAAGTTTTTCTATTTTCTGTCTCTGTGATTCCTGTGTTGTTGTTGTTTTTTTATTCACAAATTTGAAATCGGGTTTTTTCCCCTTTACTTATTGCGAACCAGGTCTCCCTTGATAAAGATATTATTGCTTTCACCTGGTCATAAGTAAAGGCCACCTACAAATTAAAGATTAATTAAACACCACATGTGCACAGCTGTTACGTGTGCAGTTGAGTCAAGTGCAGCTACCCCAAGGTTCATGGTGTTCTGATGTACGAACACCTTCGTTTCAATAACAATGCAATCAGTCTGCATCGCTTACGTTAGACAAAGCTGGATTTGCGAACAATTACCATTTTACAACAGAATTCTGTGGAAGGAAATCTAATTGTTCCTGGTTACATGTCGGTTTAGTATCAAAATGCTTACATTTTATTATTGTTTTATTTTAATAATTAATTGGCATCAACATTAATCAAAATAAACATCTGGTGCCCTACTAATGAACCGGTTCATGTTTTAAAAAATATTGTAAGTCAAAGTAATTAAAATTAACATGGCATATGCAAGAACGAAACATTCACATGGCCCGAAATCGGGCGAACGGTAGGGTAAGGGCCCGTCTTGAAAGGACGAACGTCCTTTTTTGTGCTCGTACTCCACTGCTAGATCAGTGTTCAATGCGATGTATTTGTCTATTTAATTATGTATTTCCTATGTGTATGTCAGGTTAGACTACATTTAGTCAACTGAAAACAATACACAGTATGGTGGCTTGCAGGCCAAAAAAGAGTATAGGGGACATCTCAAATAGGGCTTGCAAAAATACAGAGTAGACAGCAACAACAACAATGCCTGAAAATAATATATTGGCACATATATGAAGGAAAGCATTGCAATATATCAATACTATGTTTTATAACGACTACAGTGATCATGCAGCGACATTGTGCATTTCTCAACATCTGTGAAATAAATCATTTTTAAAGTCAACTGTGCCGTAGAATAAAATGTCAACAACAACAACACAAACACACCAAACGTAACCCTTTAAAGCTAAGCCATTCCAATAACATTTTTACATTTCTGGATAGGTCACGTTTTCTTAACGGGTTAATACCGACTGCAATTACCTGGCAAAATAAAAACAACTCTAACGTTCAGTTTCATTAATCATGGCATTTAATAAACGGATGCTAGGACTCAGGTTAATTTACAGTCTACGGGGGTTCTTGACTAATGTTATTGTTCACGTAATTGAATTATCTCTTATACTGCACAACCGCGGAACCTACACAGTTAAATGATCTGTTCATTATTTGCCGAAGCAGCAATGTTTTTGCAGTCTTATAGCGTGTGAGCAATGCGATGTTGCCAGCTTTTTTTGGTCCATTTGTGAATAGCCTTGGACCATAACACCAGGTTATTACCCCGTGGCATTGACTTAAATTAGCTAATGAGGTCACCAGTTTGCAAACACTACAAACAAAGTCCTTTTGCTTCTCTACCTATACCAAATTGGAATTTTAAATTATATACTCAGTATAATACACATTACACTTTTAAATCTAAATTGAAAACTAATTTCTTTAGAACTGCTTTTTGTGTTTAGTTTGCTGTCCTTCCTGTGCACCTCCGATTATCGCGGATGGTTACGTACAGTGCGAAATAGGTTCAACATGAGCTGCACTGGCTACCAATTAAATACAGGATCACGTATAAATTATGCCTACTCTTCTTCAAGAGTCTCCATCATCAATCTGCTCCATCCCATCGTGCCGATCAGTGCATACCAGCTTCAACAGATCCCAAACTGACTCCAACTATGACCCGTGGCTCAGGGCGACCTGCTGCTGTACCCGCGTGTAAGCCTCGTGCGATACAGCCAGCGCAGTTTCGGGGTTACTGGCCCAAAGACCTGGAACAAGCTGCCAGCTCATGTTCGGGATCCATCCCTGAGTCTGAGCCAGTTCCACAACAGACTAAAAACAGTGTTCTTTCAAAGAGTCTACTTCAACTTGTGATCAATGCGCATTCATGATGGACTAGGCTCATAGGAATGCACAATATCAAATGTTCTTACTTACATACCAGTCTTTATCCAGTATCCTCTTATCAGTAAACCCTATTATCTTGTGTTAGGGATCCCCTCGGCAGATAACCAAATTCTCGTTTCGGCCATAACCTTGTAGCCATGAAGGAGGAGTCCATGCTGAGGACACAGCTGCTTATGCTGCGGGTTTCATGATGCATGGAAAAGTGGATTTGTTCACATTGCCCTAAAATATCGCAATCCCCGTAATAAAAGTAATACCAGCGGGTGACGTTGTTCACTTCCATTTTATTATAAGTTTACGAGGTCCATATCAGAGTGGAACAATTCTCCACGGACCCTTAACTTGGTGTTTATCGTGCTCAAAATGCGACAAACACAATGGAACAAAGGCTGAGCCTTCTCCGATTTCCAGATTTCAAGTGTCCAGGGGGGTGTGGCTCCTCTCCCTGTATATATGTATATTGAACTTCTTTTGCACCGTACCTAGCCAACCGTGCTAATTGTAGGTGTGGGGAAGGACAAACTTAACACAAAAAGCAGTTTTAAAAAAATACGTTTTCAATATAGATTTAAAAGTGCATATCTCCAGTGGCTTCCTAATATCGGAAGGAAGAGCATTCCAGACGGCCGCAGAAGCGCGTCTAAAAGTGTGTGATGTGGTGTCCATCTTTGTTAAATTTGCCAGCCTAAAGCCCTTGTGAAGATGACCAGATGTTGCGTGATGGTTTATACTACTTGACGAGATCAGCAAGGTAGTCTGGTTCATTTGCGGCAAGCACATTGTGTGTAATGAGTGTGACTTTATAACGTATTGGCTCGACAACTGAAGCCACAGTTTGATTTTGCAGTACCCGTCACGAAACGTGCCAAATAATTTTCTACACGCTGCAGCTTGCTATTTTTTTTGTATTCATTCCTCGTGTGAGTGCAATGGAAATGAGAGGCAATGCATAGCATCTCATCCAAGCGTGGCCCAATGTGGCTTTTGCATGAGACGG